TCAGATTTGCTTTGAAGCCTTTCATAAAATGTCATTCATCTTAAACATGTCATGGTAACAGTTATTGACAGAGCTAATATGAAACACAGCCCCTGAAGCATATAGCAAATCAAACTGCAAGAAAGGGCACACCATTTAATCATAATTTAACCCGATAATACAATCAAATCATTCTAACAAGATCAAAAAGGGTTTAAAGGCATTTTAAAGGGTTTATAAAGTTTGAACTGTTTCTGTGTACAAATGAATATTTTTAAAAAATGCTAGTAAAAACACACAAACTTCTGAGTGTTTTGGCCCTCACTGTAGCAGTTGTTCTTTTGACATGTGAGAATCCTCCATCTCCATCAGCCGTGACAGAGTTGTGTTTCACAAAACAAACCAGTTCCAGGTGGACAAACACACTGGCAATCCTCAGGCCCCCGAGCCTGACACTGTAACAGTTTGTCGAAAGCAGCCTGCACTGTTGCACATGCGCTTCAGTGTGTGTGTGTGTTGATGACCGGGCATCCATGAAGGTTCAGCTACATGTAAGCAACTGTTTAAACAACCAACCAGTCAGCAACCACAATACAACCAAACAGCTGACAACAAAAGCTGCTGAAGCCACAGAGAGTAAAAGTGTGTCGATGGGACAATGATTGACTGGCCCCTCACTCTCACACGAAGAGATAAAAATTAAGCTTCAAACCTACACGCAAACAAAACAGACCACAGGGCACATGACACGYGTTACACTAACTGCACGTGTTTGTTTACACACATAAAACGGGGTTGTTCTGTTGCACGGAGGGTGAAACGGTCTTTGCTGAGCAGCGTCAGTTCACTGACTTTTCCATAAACAAGATCGTTATCATTGTCAACAAGACATCAACTGGCTCCATAAGTGACGTTAGACACGCATATTTACAYGAATAAACCTAGGAGCTGATCAGTGAAGGTTTAAAGCGTACATCATGCTGTCAACAGAGCAGCTGCTTGTTTTCCTGCTTTTAGGAGAAAGAATGAGATTTCTTAAAATGTTMATTTGAAAGTTAAAAAAATAAATTCTGTTTCTTCCCCTTTTTTGTGTGCATCCAATAGCCTTTTCTAAAAAGCCAGAAACAAAGACAGAAAAGAAAAGAATCAATGTTAAGTTTAACTGCAGAAAGGARCTTTGAACCAGCACTTTTTAATTAAAAATTACATTTTGTCTGTACAGTGTTGCTTAAAATTGACAAGGAAACATTTTTTAAACGGGTAATTTCCACAGTCTCAATGTCAAATTACTTGGAACAAACGTGCCAAATTAAATAATTTAGATGCCTAAAATCATTGACAAATATCTACTTTCAATACTTTACTTTAAAACTGTTGTTTAAACAGTTTTAATCAGGTTAAACCCAAACACTAAGCCGACTTTAATCAGAAAGTCATTTCAATGACTGAACACATGAAGGTGAAGATGTTCCGTTACATTTATGAGTTATTTGACAGCTCCCTCTTCTGGTTCAAATTTACTATTTCAGAATCTGAAGCAGCGTCTAAAACTTCTCAACATGACAAGCTGGGAAATATTTGACTATATTCTTATATGCACTAGGATATAAAACATAAATGAAATCCGTTTTTTCTCCATTTTTTCTCCTTTTTCTAATAAACTGCTCAATAAATCTATCAGCAGAAGTACTCTAGAAACTCTAGAAAGTGGCATATGTCCAGTGAAAACCATCTTTGGCCACAGAAAAACTAATCATTTCACCTCAAATTATACATTCTTTTAGTGTCTATGTGAAAAGCTCTAAACATACAAACATGTTAAAYTGTTACCTGTTTCAGTGTAATCATTCACTCTTGTGATTGTGCTCAACTATCTACTTACTTATTATGAGAGCTTTTCAATCCAGCATTTTGTAATCCTGCTTGGATTCCTTCTTGTGAAGCTTATGCACTAAGATCCTGTCAAAAAGTGTTGATTTAGTCAACAGAAACTAAAAATTACATTTAAATAAAATATATATCAGTGTGCCCACTACAGACTTTATTTGCCTACGAGTAATCTAAATCTCAAGTATCTTTTGGGTAATTATTCACTTCCAAAAGGAGACCTAAAAAAGAGAAGGCGGTTTGTGATTGAGGTAAAATAAGTGTAGCTTTTTTTTTACATCTCCCTCAATCACCCTTGATGTGAAGAGCTGAGACAGTAAGAACTACGGATGTGCCGATAAATCGGCAGGCCTATTTATCAGCACAGATTTCCTTAATTTTGGGAGATTGGCAGATACTCAGATAAGATCTGTGGAAAAGATCGGCTTCTCATCCACCTCCACCAAGGTGGTCTGAACATCAAAAACTGTCCATCTTACCAAGTTTTAAAATCTTATATCCAGCCAAAAAGTCTTTTTGATCTTGTTTTGAGACTGATTTACTAAACCAGAACTGATTGTGTAAGAATAATAATCTGGTTTTCAGAATGTGTAAGATTATTTGTCTTGTTAGTCTGAAAATTTGACTCAAATTAAGTCAAAAATTTCTGCCAAAATATGGAGTAAGAAAACTTTACTTGGTAAGATTCTTGAAATACTTGATTTGACTCAATTTTTTCTTATTTCAAGAATCTTACCAAGTAAAATTTTCTTACTCCATATTTTGGCAGAAATTTTTGACTTAATTTGAGTCAAATCAAGTATTTCAACAATCTTACCAAGTAAAATTTTCTTACTCCATTGGCAGAAATTTTTGACTTAATTTGAGTCAAATTTTCACACTAACAAGACAAATAATCTTACACATTCTGAAAACAAGATTATTATTCTTACACAATCAGTTCTTGTTTAGTAAATCAGTCTCAAAACAAGATCAGAAGACTTTTTGGCTGGATAAAAGATTTAAAAACTTGGTAAAATGGACAGTTTTTGCAG